GCAGCAGCGTGCTTGTGGACATGTCTATGTGCGTTTAGGTGCCTCAAGCACTTAGACATGAATTCATTTCATTGGCCGGAATCATAATTTATTCTGGTCATTGAAATGAACTAACGCTCAAGCGATTGATGCGCCTAGCATTAACGCACATTTACACATGTCAATCGCTTTTTTTCTGCCTAAATTCTGCTGCTGAACATGCTGGCAGTGGGGGGTTTTCTGCCTCTAAGTGCCTGCACTCACCGGCCACTTTATTAGGTACACCTTGCTACTACCGGGTTGGACCCTCTTTTGCCTTCAGAACTGCCTTAATTCTTCATGGCATGCATTCACCGAGGTGTTGGAAACATTCCTTAGAGATTTCCATCATGTCTATATTGACATGAGTTACTGTTGCCTTTCTATCCTCTCTGCCCATTCTCCTCTGACATCAACAAGGCATTTTTGTCCACACAACTGCCACTCACTGGATACTTTCTCTTTTACGGACAATTCTCTGTAAACACTAGATATAGTTGTGCGTGAAAATCCCAGTAGATTAGCAGTTTTTGAAATACTCAGACCATCTTGTCTGGCACCAACAACCATGCCACATTCAAAGTCACTTAAATCCCCTTTCTTCCCCATTCTGATGCTCAGTTTAACCACTTCCCGTCTAGCCCAAGTATATAAACTCCTGGACGGGAGCAGTGCCGGGGACGGGTGGCCATTTATAAACGTCCTCCCCGGGGTGGCCGTTTATAAACGTCCTCCCCGGGGTGGCCGTTTATAAACGTCCTCCCCGGGGTGGCCATTTATAAACGTCCTCCCCGGGGTGGCCGTTTATAAACGTCCTCCCCGGGGTGGCTGTTTATAAACGTCCTTCTCGGGGTGGCCGTTTATAAACGTCCTCCCTGCTTGTGTGTACTCCCTGGGAGCACGCAGCACTGCGATCGGGTGCCCACTGTGTCCGGAGGACACAGCGGAACACCGATTGCTGTATGGGACCTCTGTGTGAGGTCTCGATCATGTGATCACTGATTGGCCAATCAGTGATCACATGAATAGTAGTAAGCAAGATGTCACTTCTGACATCATTGCTTACTACTAGTGAAATGTGTGAATGATCACAGAGGTCACATGGTACAAGGCTATTCACAACAGCCTTGTACCATGTGACAAGCTGTGACCAATCACAGTTCGCACAGTATTTCTCAGTAACTGCAAAAATGCAGTAAGAGAGAAGGAGAAATGATTGCTTTTACAGCCTTTATGGTTGAAAAGCAATCAGTGTAAAAAATAAAAAATTAAATCTTCATCATCCCCCACAAGTAGTACAGTGTCACTATGGTGACACTGTGCTGCTAGGGTGACAGTTTGTAAAAAAAAAACCATAAATAATAACATAAAATAAAAATGTAAAAAATGTTTTTGAAAAGGTATAATTTTTGGTTATAAACTAATCTGGGTTTTTTTTTTTTTTTTTTTACTAAAAAGATAACTGAATAAATGTTGGCCAAGATTTATGAAGAAAGATTATTTATTTGCAAAAATTTATAAGAAAAACTTTTTTTTAAACTTTTTGGACTTTTTCATTTATATAGCAAAGAAAGTAAAAATCCCAGTGGTGAATAAATACCACAGAAATAAAATTTTATCTGTCTCATAAAAATGCTAAAAAATTAATATGGATATACAGTGTTGCATGACCGCGCAATTATCATTCAAAGTGTGATAGCACTGAAAGCTGAAAATTGGCCTAGACAGGAAGGGGGTAAAAGTGTCTGGACTTGAAGTGGTTAAACTTCAGCAAGTCATCTTCACCACATCTAGATGCCTAAATGCATTGAGTTGCTGTCATGTGATTGGCTGATTAGCAATTTGTGGTACCAAGCAATTGAACAGGCGTACCTAATAAAGTGGACAGTGAGCATGCATGGAAACATAGCTGAACATGCAGGGGCATTTAGAGGCAGAAAAAAATACCAGATTCCCCAAAGAGCAGCAAAAAAAATGTCCAGTGTGCAGGAGGCCTAAGCATTCCCCACCCCACAGTTGCATGTATAAACGCCCCTTGTACACATATGACTTTGAGGTGCGGAATACCTCAGCCACTTATGATTGGCTATTTGCAGTGACAGCTTCCTTGCTGGATAGCTCAGATGACTTTGGACTCATGTGTGAACATGCTTGAGTCCATCTCTAGTGCCTGTAAGTCCCTCTGCTGCCATGGCAGATGGGACTTGTAGTCTTCCCATGCCCAGATTCCAGTGAATGGATGATATTGCTGAGCTGGCAGAGTCACGCACAGCCTTGGCTAATTTTAAAACAACACAGTGTTGCAAGGAGAAGCATCTGACAGTTCAGGTGATTGGCGGAGGGAGTTGAGGGTGGGGGTTGGGGAACGCGACTAAGTGTTTCATGTAGCACACTAAAAATGGGTGTAATATGAAATGTGGTCTCAAACAGGGAGGAACTCAGGTGGGTTTGGATAGAAGTTCAAACCCACCTGTATTATTCTGCCAGGAAGCTGTCAACGTGGACAGCCAATCATAGGAGGTGGAGACTTTCCCCTCCCCACAACTGCACATATGCAAGGGGCATGTATACATGTGACTGCGGGATGGGGCGTGCCTCTGCCGCCTATGAACGCCTGTTTGCTTTGGCAGCTTCCTGGAGGGATAGTCTAAGCTACAAACATCAAAATCAACACAAGGGACATAACTTACACTTAGTATGATGTGACCCTTGTGCTGATTCTTCTTGAGTTAGGAGTAATTTTCATCCCCCCCCCCCCCCCCCCCCCCCCCCCCCCCCCCCCCCCCCCCCCCACCCGCCGCCATAATCTTCTGGTGCTATCTGGAGCTCTCATCAAGAGAGCTCAACTATGCCTGCCCTTTCCCCCCCACTGTGCTATTTATTGAAGCTGTACTATAGCTTATGTGATGGTCCATTCACATGTGATTTGGGAAACTGTTTTCCATGTGCGTTTCCTGCATGCAAACGTGCTGCCTTTGCAAGACACCTGCAGGTACCAATAATTGTTAATGGCACCCCAAACACATCTCACAAACATAGCCCATTTGCAGCTACCAGACCACATGGTACTGCAGTTCCATGGGTTTTGGTGCGGTGTGGTTTGTAAAAGTAGTGCTTGCACTACTTTTTGCACATTCCAGTGTGTTTTACAGCCCATGGGCTGTCAAAACGGAATATGGACCTCTAAATTGGGGACTGATAGCTCCTTCCACCTCTGTACAATCAGCTTTGGATTTACCAAAACTATGTAATATGAGGACCTATGTAAACTTTATCTAATCAAGTTGTATCCATCAGACAGACCCTTGTATTACATAGTCACTGGTAGATCTAAAGGAGATTGTTCATATCTGGGGAGCTTCATGCTGACTTTTTTGCTATACAGCACCAGGGACATAACTTCAGCAAGCTATAGATTACACAATTTTCTTTCACAATTGCTCAATTCTCTCATCAACATAGTCAGTGTTGATGCTGGAATCCCTCCTGTAGTGCTATTGTGTTCTGCCGGTGGGAAGCCTTTCCTGCTGGCAGAACACAATGATCACTGCTAGCAGCAATAGCAGCTGGCAGTGTTTGCATGCAAAAAAATCCAATAGGCTGGTTGTACAGATGTCAATTGATGGGTTGCCTTGAGTACAACCAGCCTGCCCATAGATGGATTGAGTTTCTGCAGGTCCCATCTATGGCTGGCTTTAACTACTGCATGTTGTAGAAATCCTTTTCATGCTTCCACTGGGTTCCCCCACAGTGCAGATCTTCCAGCATTTTGGTGGGTAACTTCAGCTGCGGTGAATATGAAGGAGTTGAACCACTTGCCAGCCCCTTCCACCTGCCATTCATAGAACTCAAAGTATTTTTTCCAAGTATGCATTCTGTGAATAGATTATGTGAGGGTGAATGGCAGAATCTGCCCCCTCCAATGACAAAATACTTTGCATTCATAATTGAGAGTTCAATATATAAGACATTAAATCCTGACTCCACCCAAAACTTGCTTTTTGTGGAGCTGAGTGGGCTTAGAACATTTAATCATCTGTAGGTTGTTCATTGCTGCCTCTGTGCCCATTAAGGAGATTTATCCTGACCACCAACTTCAGGCGAGTGATTTCAGACAGAACAGGAAGTGAGAGAAAATCTCAATGGGGGGCCTGGAAGCAATTAGAGCCGGTTCGCATCACATGCAATCCAGTGCGTTTTTTGTCAGCATCAAAAATGCATGTGGTTTCCAATTGCATTGTTCACACCAGTGTGGTCAGCTCCAGAGAAAAAAGTAGAACATGCTGCATTTTTTCTGCACTGAACTGTACTGGAATGTGGCAAAATGCATCAAAAATGTACTGGAACACACACACGGCCTTATTTAAAGTAACACTAAAGCTTGGGTTTTTTTTTTCTAAAATAAAAAACATGTCCATACTTACCTGCTCTGTGCAGTGATTTTGTACAGAGCAGCCCCGATTCTCTTCTTTTTGGGTCCCCTCTGGCGCTCCTCCTTTGCGAACAGTGCCCGCAGGGAAAGCCTCTGGCCCTGGGGGGCACCTCTGTGTGCTTGTCCCTGAGCGCTGCTGCTCTATGCGTCCCTAAGACACATAGAACCCACGGCTCGGCCCTCTCTCTCCTCATTGGCTCACTGGTTGTGATTGACAGCAACGGGAGCCAATGGGCTCCCATTGTTGTCTCAGCCAATGAGGAGGAAGAGTCCACAGACAGCAGAGGCTGTCATGAACATCGCTGTATCGGAGGGGGCTCAGGTGAGGATTGGGGGGCTGCTGAACACAGAAGGTTTATTACCTTCATGCATAGAATGCTTGAAGGTAAAAAACCTTGAGCCTTTAGGACCACTTTAACTGCTTTCGCTCCTCCCTATAGCAGAAATACTTCTACAGAGTGGCACGGGTGCGCAAAATCACACACACACACATATATATATATATATATATATATATTTACACGTGATCTTGTAGTTCCGGGTAGGGGGCGCGCGCCTCCTTTCACGGCCTCGGCTGTCAATCATCTGGTCCCGTCGGTGATTTCTCACCAGCACCGGATGATCGCCGACGGGGGAGAGATCTGTGTACTTTATACGGCGGATACTGTCAGCTCCTGCCCAGTGCTTTGTATGGCTCTGCATAGCAGAGCCATATAAAGCAGTGTGCTTACAGTGAAACACAGCACACAGCCTCATAGTAAAAACAGCACACAGTTAACCCTTTGATTGCCGCACATGTTAGCCCCTTCCTGCCCAGTGCCATTAGTACAGTGTCAGTGCTTTTTATTGATCACTGTATTGGTGTCACTGGGGATGTCAGTGACACCAAGTCGGTTCCCCCAAGTGTCAGAATGCCCGCTGCAGTCCTGCTATAAGTCGCTGATTGCCACCATTACTAGTAAAAAAATTAATTAATTAATAAATTCCAGTATATATACCGCCATTTGAAACACTATAACTTTCACGTAAATTAATTCATTTACACATATTGGCATTTTTTTTAGCAAAGACATGTAGCAGAATACATTTTGGCCTAAATTTATGACAAAATTTGATTTTTTTTTAAATTTTTTTTTTTACTGGACATATTTAATAGCAAAAAGTAAAAAATATTGTTTTTTTTTCTCAGAATTGTCGGCCTTTTCTTGTTTATAGCACAAAAAATAAAAACCGCAGAGGTGATCAAATACCACAGAAAGAAATAATCTTTATTTGTGGGGAAAAAAGGACGTAAATTTCATTTGGGTGCAGTGCTGCATGACCGCGCAATTGTCAGTTAAAGTAACACAGCGCCGTATTGCAAAAAATGGGCTGGTTAGGACGGGGGGTAAAAACTTTGGAGTGCAAGTGGTTAAGGTGAAGAAAAAAAGAGGGGAAAAAATGTACTGAAACACACCAAAAACGCACCAGTATGCATATAAAATGCATCAAAAATGTGAATGTAGAAATGCTTCCAGACTGCATTTCTGTGGTATGAACCTGCCTTTGAAAGTGACAAGGATTGTAACCCTTCCTCACTCCATCTATAGGTTGGCCGTACACTATACAATTTTCTTAGAAGTTTCTGTCCAATTTCTGCCCAATTTCCTTTAGATTTACCTTCAACTATGTAGTGCAAGGGCCTGACTAATTATTAGTATTATTATTACAGATACTTATATAGCACCGTCAATTTACGCAGCGCTTTACATATATATTGTACATTCACATCAGTCTCTAACCCTCAAGGGGCGTACAATCTAAGGTTGGATACAATTGAAAGTGTTGTTTAGGTTTGACTTCATATTATATGATTTTTGGCAAATCTAAAGTAAAATTCTCAAGAAATTGTATAGTGTATGGCCAGCCATAGTTATACTGCAGGTAAATGTTCTGTTTGTTTGCAGCTAGTTCCTTACTTACAATGGTTAGAGTTAGGTGCTACCCTATGCATTGTCCACAATACTGAACTTGTGTTATTTCATGGACATGGTAAAAGTATTATTGACAGTTAAAAATGTGCCCTCTTCCTACGACCACCAACCTGAACCGCCACGTATACACAGCAAACTCTGTACTCCTGCTCTTGGGGACGGACTCAGCTAGGGCTATGGTAACATCTCAGATGTCCTGGAAAATGCACTCCTTGCTGCCTTCAATGGACTGAGGTAGTCCAATGTCACTGGATACAAACAAAGCAAACAGAGGGCGCACCGGCCTAGTGCATTATCGGAAAAAATATTTATTGAAGGGATAAAAAGTAAGTATCGTTCTCACAATTGACATACAGGTCAAAGGCACATCACACTAAACAGCGGGGTCCAATCCACACTGCTGGCTAATGCATTTCGAGGACTCAGCCTCTTCCTCCGAGCCAACCTGAGGCTCTGAGGAAGAGGTTGAGTCTTTGAAACGCGTTAGCCTGTTAGAAGTCTAGGGTTCCATTTATGGACTTCTATGAAGTGTGGATTGGACACCGCTGTTTAGTGTGATGTGCCTTTGACCTGTATGTCAATTGTGAGTACAATACTTACTTTTTATCCTTTCAATAAATATTTTTTATGATAATGCACTAGGCCGGTGCGCCCTCTGTTTGTTTTCTCTGAACCACCACGTATGCTGATACTGCTATGGCCAATGAGTGCTGTTCATGAAATCCTTCTTTGATTGTACAAGAGGCTTGTGAATACTCCTCTTGGTCTGATATAGCTGAAATGTTTTGTTTTCTTTATTTCATTTACAGTGACATGAGTGTAACCAGTTTTGCTTGTTCTTGCTGGGAGACAGACACACAAATCTATGTACAGCGCTGTAACCAAGGAGGAAATGGCGGCACAGAAAAGTGTAAAGAAAGTCATCAGAGATCCCGGAGCACAAGATGGGAGTCACCTTGTCACTTGGACCCTGGCCGTGTTCATGTGTGTGCTTGGAGTGTACATTAAAACCTTACACCCATCTGTGCCTGGCGGAGATTCAGGTACAGTGAATGCTTGTGGCCATGTGTCTGGTATGTATGTTTCCCACAAACATGTGAATATAGGCAGCCTCCTCCCACAGTGAGTGACCTGACTGCAGCCCCGGGCATTGTCACATGGGGAATGGGCCTATGGCTATGCAAATACTAGTTTTCAGAGAGTCTGTATCTGCATATCTAGGAGGGCTTCTGATGACTTTGGAGGGACAGCTCACAACAGTTGCTATTTTATACAGCTGTATTAGGAGTGTGAAAAAACAGTATATATCTGCAAAACATGCACATTTCCAAATGTCTACCCCTTTACAGATAGTGTGGGTACAAACAAATACATGTTGATTTGCCAGAAATCCAGTGAGCTCTGAACTTCCCATTGAGAGCTGACAATGCTGCCTTTGCTGTGCTGAAATGTAAACTTTGTTGTCAGCTCTGATCAATTCTCTTATGTTGGATTACACCCCCTCCACCACCCTCTTTTCATTCTATAACAAAGGGGAAGATGTTCTGTAGTCTAACAGAAGAAAGCTCAAGAAGGTCCAGAACTCATTTAAGGTTGTAATCTCTATTAACAGAAATGTATTTTCATGACCAGCGGTCATTGATGCATAGATGCCCAAGCCGCATTTAGCAATGTTGGTGCATTTTGGTTAATTGTAACTCTATAGCCAGATTTAGGGCCGGTTCACACTATAGAAACGCAGTCCAGATGCATTCCGGATGCACTTTGTATGAGTGTTTTGGCGCTTTCTAGTGTGCATTTTTGATGCGTTTTTGACGCGTTCCAGTTTTTCCCTTCTGTTTTTCTTCAACTTAAATAAGGACTTGTGTGTTCCAGTGCGTTTTTGGTGCATTCCAGTGCATTTTTGATGCATTTTACCGCGTTCCAGTACAGTTCTGTGCAGAAAAAATGCAACATGTTCTACTTTTTTTTTCTGCAACCAGAACGCACTGGAACTGCAAGTACTGATGTGAACTATGACATTGACAACTATATAACCTACTTTCTGTGCATTTTGGATGCAGAAAAAAAGCAAATGAAATGCATGTATTGTGAACTGGCCCTTAATGTTTTTATTTGGTACATTCTGTCTTTTTCCGTGGGGGTCACATATGTGCATGTGCTGGGGGCATGCAGCAGAAATCCACTATATGTGTGCAGATGTCCTGCCAGGTCCCAGGTGCCAAGAAATTGTAAAAGCAAAAGTTGCTAATTTCCGTAATATGTTTATTATATATATATATATATATATATATATATATATATATAAAAAAATTTTCAGTTATGACTATTGTGCTTAGGGATAAGTGCTAGGCTTAGGGGTAAAGCTGAATTCTTGGCAGTATGAAAGGCGTAGATTAACTCCTTCCTGCCGGCCTTAGACATATATGCCGCCTCTCAGCAGGTGGGCATTAATGCTGAAAGGCCACATATATGCGTACCTAAAGGTAGACAGAAGTGTGCTGAAAGTGCATGCCGTGCGCACTCCCACCACAGCTAACAGAAAGCTTCTGATCTCTGTTTGCGATCAGGAGCTTTCCAAACATGTGACCTCTGTGACAGCCAATCGCGACAGTCACATGATCAGAAACCCTGACCCGCCTCCTAGCTTCTGTAACCCCTTAAAGCACCAGGAAGCACCAGTGTCAAGGGGTTAATGCAGCTTTGTAATCCTTAATTCATCATTAAATGTCATTTTTAAATGAATAACTTTTTTTTTTTTTTTTCAATTACCGTATTTTTCGCTCCATAAGATGCACCTGACCATAAGACGCACCTAGGTTTTAGAGGCGAAAAACAAGAAAAAAAAATATTCTGAACCAATGGACTGCAGACACAGTACAGGAGATGACCACAGACTGCGGACATAGTACAGGGGATGACCAGAGACTCCGGACACAGTACAGGGGATGACCAGAGACTGCGGACACAATACAGGAGATGACCAGAGACTGCGGACACAGTGCAGGAGATGACCAGAGACTGCGGACACAGTGCAGGAGATGACCAGAGACTGCGGACACAGTGCAGGAGATGACCAGAGACTGCGGACACAGTGCAGGAGATGACCAGAGACTGCAGACAGTGCAGGGAATGACCAGAGACTGCAGACAGTGCAGGGGATGACCAGAGACTGCAGACAGTGCAGGGGATGACCAGAGACTGCGGACACAGTGCAGGAGATGACCAGAGACTGCGGACGCAGTGCAGGAGATGACCAGAGACTGCGGACGCAGTGTAGGAGATGACCAGAGACTGCGGACGCAGTGCAGGAGATGACCAGAGACTGCGGACGCAGTGCAGGAGATGACCAGAGACTGCGGACGCAGTGCAGGAGATGACCAGAGACTGCGGACGCAGTGCAGGAGATGACCAGAGACTGCGGACGCAGTGCAGGAGATGACCAGAGACTGCGGACGCAGTGCAGGAGATGACCAGAGACTGCGGACGCAGTGCAGGAGATGACCAGAGACTGCGGACGCAGTGCAGGAGATGACCAGAGACTGCGGACGCAGTGCAGGAGATGACCAGAGACTGCGAACGCAGTACAGGGGATGACCAGAGACTGCGGACACAGTACAGGGGATGACCAGAGACTGCGGACACAGTACAGGAGATGACCAGAGACTGCGGACACAGTACAGGAGATGACCAGAGACTGCGGACAGTACAGGAGATGACCAGAGACTGCGGACACAGTACAGGAGATGACCAGAAACTGCAGACAGTGCAGGGAATGACCAGAGACTGCAGACAGTGCAGTGCAGGGAATGACCAGAGACTGCAGACAGTGCAGGGAATGACCAGAGACTGCAGACAGTGCAGGGAATGACCAGAGACTGCTGACCTTTGGGGAGGGAGGGGGAGCGGGTACCTGAATTTGACAGGTACCCGCTCCCACTTCCGCGGAGTTGCTCTTCGCTCTTCTTC